CTGGTTTCCATGTTAGCTTTTGTTTTATTAGTTTATGCCGTTATAGTAATTAAAAAGCAGTCATTGTAGACACAGCATTTTCATAGCCAATTGTTGCTGCTGTCTTCTCTCGAGAGTTCCGGTCCATTTTTATACTCTTTATAAGAGTCTCTTCATCTTTGCGCTTAGTTTCCAAGGGCGTCCTGTTTAAGGGGCATTAATAAGATATTTATCAAGTAATTGCTTGTTGATATCTAGATTATATCCATGGCAGCATGCTTTAGCCATGTAGTATCACACTTGCTGCTTAGAAATTATTGTATCCTCTTTAATTTAGTAATATGTAGCTCTATAAGCTCGGAGTCCTATAGTTTGATAAAGAAGAGATATCATTGTAGTCTAGCCTTGCTTTAATTCAGCTTGGCCTTCCTATAGTTCCTAGATCTAATGATCGACTTGCTAGAACTACGAAGTAATTATAGGATTATTAACGTTCCTATTTTCACATTCCTACTGCCCTCCCTGCCCTCTTGCATTACTCTGCCTATACTGATCCTTTACCATACTTATAAATGACTTAAAGACAGATAATACTAGGTCATTAGCCTACGTATTCAATTACTCTTTAAGGAGCAATTGAGTCTAAGATGGTGACAAAGTTCAAGGCTATCTACAAAGGTGTTTTCCTCGACTATTTAACTAGCCATAAGGAGCTGAAGTTCCTTGTAGTACTACTGTTAGTGTTTGTATTAGGGTTGGTGTTTCTAGGGGAGTTGAGTCTATAGAGTAAACACTCTTAGCACCGTTCTCACTTTGCCATTCTTCTACAGAATCATGTAGTATATCCTCGTTGTTAGGATTGTCAAAGCCAGAGCACTCTTGTGCTCTCTAGCTAATGGATCTATTACGACTTTGAGGATAAGTCTGCTAGTGCCTCCGCTTTGTAGCAATAGCAACAGATAACGAGTCTTGAGTATTAAGCACTTGTTACAATGAAGTGATAACAGTATCTGCTGCCTCACTTCGCTATGTTTCAATCTGCTTTTCCTTGCTAACAACCCTAATCTAGTTATTAGTTTAGACAGTCAATTCCAACTCGCTATTGGTTTTTCTAGTCCTAAGCCCATTAAGGTATTTCCTTCTCTTGTCGATTTCCTGCTATACTATTAGTAGAGACTCTTGTGGTCTTTACTAGTCTCCCTTTCAAAATCAGCCTGTATATAAGACTAGAATGCAGTCTTCATCCCTAGTCGAAATGCTTTGGTGTTTCAATTGCAAAGTCGGAAGAGGACTAGTACTTCATCCTTCATTAGGGGCGCCATCTTCACTAGAGAGCGTTAAGGATAACAACTCTCTGTGCGTCACCAGCTTAAGGCTTATGATCCTCTTGGCATTTTGGTATTGAATTGCACCTCAACTGTAGGCTGGACAGGCAAAGGAGGACTACCTATATCATCGTCTTTAAAGACAGAGCACTGCTAACGACTAGGAAGTAAAGTTCTAGGCTAGTATGCCTCGAGGGGTTTAGTATGTGATGCCATAGTTATCACTTATATTGAATATAATATAATCATACAACTCTATTACTAACTCTACAGCTAACGTAAGTCGTGGCGTAATGCGGGGGATGGCGTAACGCGGTGGAAATTTGAAGAGAACACAACAAATCTGTAAATTTAACTACAATCAATGATAATACATGATCCACCATCACTCTTAGATTGTTCCCCTGCTTCTTCCTCAATATACTCGTCAATTTCAATGTCTGAGGAGGCGTTCTTATCCTTTGTTCTGCGCTTTTTCTAACTTGGGTTATGTGTCGCCTTTTCCGCCTCCATCACCGCATCACACAACTCTTGCGTAGAAACATGAAAGTCAACCTTCAGAATAACCCTTTTCCCCTTCGTACGTACCGTACGTTGCTTTATAACTGATCGCAGGTTGTTGGCATCGAGTTGGTGGACAATGCTGCGTGCTCGAAGTTGCTCTGACGCAACTGTGAGTTTTTGGATGTACGTCCGCACTGGTGTTGACAGCACCCCACCACTATTAATCGTAGTTGTAAGAAGCGCATTTGCAGAGCGTAAGGTCATCCCATCTGGGGGGGAGCTGTTGATAAAGACTCGGTCAAAAATATCATACTGATGTGGTGTTTTTGGTTGGTCAGCCTCGACTGATGGTTCAGCATTGAGCAGCGTACGCAATGCTCGCTGGGGATTAAAAGGAAACAAGCCAGCGCCACGGTATGCTGACTCAATGTTCTGATGGTTGCATACATCAAGCCGTGCCTGGATGTATGCCTCCATCCATTCATACTTCTGTATGCGCGCAAGTTGCGCTTGGTTGAGTGGGGAGAGTGCTGCTGTCAGACGCTTTTTTAGCGGGTCGAATATCGCAACATCCAGTGGTTGTAGTAAGTGCGATGTATGAGGGGGAAATATCAGTAATACAATATGGTTCTGCATGCAATGCGCAATGAAACTCCCGCTAATGTGTGAGTCGTGGCCATCACATATAAGAAGCCGGTGCTGACCATCTGCTTTTGTACGTGTTGTTGGCTCGAAGATGCGTTTTAACCACTCCAACCCATGGAGGTTGCTTGTCCAGCCTTTCGTATTTACAGAGAAGAACCAATGGTCGATGACTGCGGGCGGAATCCATGATTGGAGAACGTTCTTGCCCTTAAAGATCCCGAGGGGTGGGAGGATGGTTCTGTCTGCGCAGATGCACTCGACCATCGAAACCCATTCCTGACGGCCAGGATGCGCTTGATGCTTCGTACGAAGCATTGAATCAAGTATAATTCGAGTAGATTCCATTGTCCCAATCGAAAATCTGGATTCATCCATGTTATATGTGTTCTCTTGCATGATTCCAAACTCTTGAACCACCTTGGTGTACGCGTTAAACCATGCCGTAAGCACTGGTTTTGTTGCACCGTCCATGCGTACAGTTTCGATCCGTCGCCCAATAGCGACCTGTAGATGGGGATGTCGTTGTATGAATCGTGGTACCCAGTTGCGACCGAGGGAAAATCGTGGTTGGGGTAGAAGTAAGTTTGGCGTCGCGTCATCAAAATTGAGTGACCGGTGCGACCGGAGTTCTTCAGCTATTTCCTTCAACAACCGATGCCCTGGAGAATAGCCGCTGATTGTTAGGTTTTTAATCCACTTTAGAAGTATCTGTTCTTGCGCGCCTGATAAATTCTGCTGTTTCTGGCGGGCTTGGGAGCGTGTCAAACCTCCATTGACGTGTCGCGTCACTGAACTCTTCGGCAGCCCCAGCACTTTCTCAGCGTGATATGCACTCTTATACTTCTTAGATTGGACGTCTAATACTGCCTGGGCTATTAAAGTTTTACGCTCAGCAACACCCAGGCTTTTACAGCGAACCATTGTTGAGTTATTCACAGTTATCAGAAGTCGGCGGGGTGAATTCCCCGCGTTACGCCATCCCCCGCGTTACGCCACGACTTACGTTACATGACGTTCCTCTAAGGTGATTACTAACAAATTTTCTTAACTACAACAGGATTATGGCTTGCTGTAAGTCTTTAGCAAATAACTGTTAAGCCTCTATAGTCCTAAGTGCTAAATAGGAAGTAGTGGAGCTCGGCTTGCAAGGTTTGTACAGGGATTATGGCACTAAATTCTCATATTTTCTATACTAACTACATACGGGGGTGTTGAACAGCCTGTTCAACAGTTGCTAAAACGCTCTAGTGGGCACCCACAGCCTACTCGAGTCGTACAAGACCTCTCCCGTAATCTCCGTCGTACCGCACCCCTCGACTATGCAACACAATTCTCTCCCAACTTCTCGGGTATGGCTACGGCTGGTGCGGGATGAGTTGTGCGTGCGTGCTTTCGTGCGTGCCTGCGTGCCTGCGTGCCTGCGTGTGCATGGTTGGACAGGGTGTGCATTCATTGCACCATTCGGTGAGGGGGTGGGTGGCGTATGCGTCGGGTGTGGAGAGGACAAGTAGTGTAAGTTAGTGTAAGTACTATAATAACTATAATAAATACCTCCTGTATCACATCGGCGTCCCGGCAACGTGGGTGGGTGTGAGGGCAGGGGTGGGAAAGGAGGAGATGGTGGGCGGGGAGTCTTCGGTCCATGTGTGCTTCTGTTAGAGGAGAAAAAACCCACCCAGAGTCTCACCACAGTTCTCCTTCTCGACCACGCGGTCCGCGACCAACAGCGGTACGATGCATCCTACGGTGCTCCGTCACTGTGCTCCGTTCTACTATACGGATCCAATCTGTCGGGTCGCGGGGGGGTGAAGGTGCATCGCCGAGGGACTGTGCGTCCATTTGCTACGCTCATCTAAGGGGAGAAAGAGGTGGGCGGTGCATGGCTGTGTGGTTGGTTGGCTGTTGGTGCTGGGGACGGACACTATCAGAAGAGTGCTAGAGTGCTAAGTGCTATAGTGCTAGAGTGCTAGAGTGCTAGAGTGCTAGAGTGCTATAGTGCTATAGTGCTAGAGTGCTAAGTGCTATAGTGCTATAGTGCTAGAGTGCTATAGTGCTAGAGTGCTATAGTGCTATAGTGCTAGAGTGCTTAGAGTGCTAGAGTTCTATTGCTATAGTGCTATAGTGCTAGAGTGCTATAGTGCTACAGTCAAATCCACCGTCACCACCAACTCGAGTCATGGCGTGTGCCAGCTGCCACAATAATAATCAAGGCCCCTAGCTGCCAACTCCATAGCCCAACCTTCTCACCATCTAGGCCCGGGAGCTGTGCGACCCGCCAGACTGTCTTACAACGTACAGCGTTCTGCAATCCTTCCAACATGGCACTGACACAACCACGGCAGAATTCGATACTTCGCCCTTCTCCCACGCTGCGCCAGCCTCAGAAGTATCCGGTATTGTTTATCCCACCTCGCGCCGTCAGCAACTGGGTTCACAGGTCCACAACCTGTAAAACGCTAACTCATGCGCGTACCCTGCGACACGCCGCGGTACGGTACGCGAGCTCCTCCCTCCCCTCCCCCCTCCACCCCCCCCCCCTCCCCCAATCCTTCCTATCCTCACTGGGACGGACACCTGCAAACCGGACACCCACCCACCCACCAGTACAGTAAGTAGTAGCCGTGCGTGTGGCGTGGTGAGCCCCATCTTCCCAAATCCCGCCAGTCAGTCAGTACCTCCGACATTTCCCTCCCTGTGATCGGTGCGACTTTTCTCTCTCTGTTCTTATTCTGTTCCTTCTTGGATCATATACCGTGGCAGCCCACCTGCTTGCTACCTGCCCTCTCCCCAGGATCGATTCGGCGAGAGATTGACCGGTTTAAGGAAGTAAAGGAGACTGCGCAAGAGTTCGAGAAACTGGAACGGATGATGCATGTTTCTCCCCCGCGAGCTGCGCGACCGATTGACCCCTGACCTCTATTCGACTTGACGATTGAAGAACCGACAGTGACGACGAAGACGACGACACTGATACCGACACCTATGCTCCGCGACGACTGAGCCTGCGCTCTCGATCTCTCCTCCCGGCTCCTACAAGATCTTGAGGTTGCGATTAAATACCTGCGATTCCCACGTTTGCGGACCCCCACGCAGTGTGGCGACGAGGCTCTGCCTCCTACCTGGTGAGCCGGGCCGCATTTTTTCTGGTTCTGTTAGCTTCGATTTCTGCCTTGAGGCGCACTTGTTCGTGGTGGAGCTGAGCGATCTTGTGGGTGTGTTGCTGTTGGTTGGCGTTGGTGACGTTGGAGGAAGGGTTCCCAGGGACCGTATAAGACATACTGGTCAACCCTGATTTTCTGTCTCTTTGTTTTCGGCTTTTGAATAGGGCGACGTCGCCAACACGATTGTTGCGAGGAAGTGCAGGAGGCGGATTATGTGTATACGGGCGCTAAATACTGACATAAACTCGCAGGTGCTGACATCTACACATCATGGACCGCCAATACTCATCTCGTCCCCCTTCCGCCACCTCAATGGACGGCCCTCGCGACGACCCGCGGTCATGCTCGGAGCGCTTTACACTCCCACCCCTCGAATACTCTTCCGACCGCCCCATGTCAAATAACATCAGATACCCGCCCTCCAGCCCCATCGTCCCTTCGCTTCAGAACCAACAAAACCAACACCCATACCCATACCCATACCCATACGCGCCTCAAGATCTACAGCCGCCCATGCACCCGCAAGATCAACAGGTGAAATCTACCCCCCTCCAACCAGGCACCGGCTCGGTCTACCACTTTGGCCGACAGACCACTGAGACGAGGCAGGTGCGCAAGATCGGCCAGCGCCGCGATGCCGCAGAGGAGTACTGCAAACTACTTGGTAGTAACAACGGCAGACACACTGGCAGCGAGCCAACGAGCAGACCGCCGCCGCCGCAACACCAGCAAAGTCGACCCCTCTCGCAACAGTCGTCGCCAACGTTCGGACCACCAAGGCCGATGCAGGATCCGTATGGCGTGCAGGGCGGTCCTAGCAACCGCATCAACAATCAGAGTGATCCAAACAACCACCATGTGCAGCTTCCCCGCTCGCCGTCGCCGCAGTCGCGAGATCTACGGAAGAGACCGTCGACAGGGACTCTGCCGAAGCCGAAGGAACAGAAGCTGCGGGACTCGAGCGGAATTGGGATTGCAGATCTGATCAGGCTGGATAGTTCGAAGTACGTGTGCCCCTTTACACTCTATTCCATGTCTTAAAATAACACACGCAAGACCACAACCGACGTACACGCTGCACATGCGGCAACAACCCCTCGCAGCGCGTGCATGCGGCTTCGGCGAACGAGACCGCCGCGTCGTGGACCCGCCTCCTATCCTTGAACTGCGCATCACCCCGCCCCCGCCACCACCGCTATCATCCGCCCCCGTGCCCGGCGCCATGTCGGACTTTGACGAAATGGCCCGGCGTCTACGTTACCCATACTACGTGATACATTGCTCGCTATGGGACGCGTCACGCGACATCGACAGTGGGGCCATGGAAGGCGACGGCAGCGTAGGCGGCGGGGAGCGTCGCAACCAGCAGCGTCGGCTAATGGGGACGCTGGTCGCTAGCCCATTTGTGGGCAAAGACGAACGCGGGGTCGAGGGGTGTTTTTTCTGCTTCCCGGACCTGTCATGTCGGACCACCGGGCAGTATCGGTTGAAGTTCGTGTTGATGGTGTTGGATCCCAATACGATGAAGATGGGAACAAAAGTGCCGTATAGTGCCAGCGTGACGAGTGGGGTGGTGACGGTGTTTGCGGCGAAGGATTTCCCGGGAATGCAAGCGAGTACGGCGTTGACGCGACGGCTGAAGGAGCAAGGTTGTTTGATCTCGGTGAAGAAAGGGATTGAGAAGATTGGAGAGAGGGGCGGGGAAAGTGAAGATGAAGGGGCGGGAAGTAAAAGGTGAAGTGGGAGGTTTTGTGTAGAAAGTGGTCATTGTCTTGGGGATTCTATTCATTATGCGCGGCTACTATGCTACTCAGAGTGAGGCAGGGCGGTTACAACAGGATTTTTTGGAGGGACGCACAGAACCCGGTTTTGACTTCCTCATACTTTTATTCTCTCTGGAGAGGCATCGTTTGTTTTGTCCGTGTGTTTTTTTATTTCCGCTTTGGGAGGCGTTGGGGGTGGGTGGGTATAAACTGTTTTACATATGGCAAATTGGATGGGACGAGCAAGGAAGTATACGCAGTTTATGAAAGAAATGAGGGGAGGAGGTAGTCAAGTATGGTACGGCATCTGTCTTCTGTTCTGGTGGGAAGGAGGGTGGGGGATGTGTGTTCATGCATTTATATTGGGATATGTCTCATGCAGGCCGAAAGAGATAGCTGCAGGTAGAGAGCGGAGTGGAGATGGTGTATATAGACTGAGAATCCTAGACGAGATATCCTCAAATGAATTATCTCTGTGGCCATAAATATCATAATACTCCCTTAATTCCCGTCTACTGTAAGAACCGCTAGACGCTATGAACGCACCGACACCCATCTTGTCACCGTAACGCTCGTTGTCACCATAGTAGTATGGGCCGCCAAAAACAATCAAGCCCCCACGTCGTCCTCGATCGAACCCCGGCGCCCACCTGCTCTCCAACACGCGCGGGTACCCACTCGTCAAACCTAAAACGCATGATCTACCACCTGCATCCGCACCGCATACATCACAAGCACACCTAAGTAGCGATCGATTCAGGCACTTATACTAAAACTGCCATGCCGCATGTGCTGCGTTGGGATTAATTTATGTGCTAGAGGGGTTCGCTTATATACAGGCTGAAGCCAGGTCGATTACCCTATGATGACGGGCAGTGTTGCCAATAGTATATTGGTCTTGGCAATATATTGCAATATATATTGCAATATAGGCCTTGGCAATACAATATGGCCTTTTGCGATATGACTACAATACGGCAATATCATATGGCAATATATAGCAATATATTGCGAATACCTATATGACTAATTATTACACACATGATAGTAAATGATGACGAGAATAAGTATGTCACCTATAATATATGGGTATTTGAAAACTCTACTTTAATAGTACTCTTAACAATTGAACGTCAATGCCTTTAACAAATGGAGAGTTAGGGTTAGCACAAATACTCATGATACTTATGAGTTAAGGTGCGTGATAAGCGGATGGGTGTCACGAGCAGCCTCACATGCTGAGTCGAGTCACGTGCACTGCTGTGCCAAGTCGGAGCGTCTTCCCTCGTACCCCGCACGAGAACGTATATAGTAGGAACGCGGCCCTCAATCAGAAGGGCAGCGTTCAGTCTTCATATCAATAGAGAGCTGGACTACGTAACTATCTACAACGTGACTTCCCACTGCCCTGTTCAGCCAAGGCTCTCTTACAATGGGCCACCTAAGCGAATGGGCCACACCTGTATCAAATTCGCTCGTTCTACCTTTGACCTTGATTTTCTCTATAACTAGCCATGGAATCCCCTTCGAACGAAAGCCAGATTATCCTTGCACTCCAGGCTCTCCAAAATGACCCATGACTTAGTGTACGGAAAGCTGCTGAGATATATAAGGTCTCTCATACGACCCTGACGTGTCGTCAAAAAGGAAAACCCTTTAGGCGGAAATAACAGTCAAATCACGAAGACTTTCAAATCTAGAAGAGGAGACCATTGTTCAGAGGGTACTTCAGCTAGACTCCTAAGGATTTCCCGTACGGATCAGTAGTGTTGAAGATATGGCAAATCAATTCCGACGTGAACGCGACGCGTCACAGTCGGAAAAAGATGGGCGATAAACTTCATATAGCGACAACCAGAGCTTAAAACTTGTAAAACGCATTCGTACGATAATCAGAGAGCATTATGTGAGGATCCAGAAAAGATTCAGGCTTGGTTTAAGCTTGTGGTTAATTTTATAGCCAAATTTGGAATATGCGTTAAGGACATCTACAACTTTGACGAGACTGGGTTTTTAATGGGAATTCTTGGGACCACCACTGTCGTAACAAGCTCAGATCGTACGACTAGGCCTAAACTGGTCCAGCCTGGCAATTGAGAGTGGGTAACAGTGATTTAGGGCATTAATTCACAGGGCTGGGCTGTCCCGCCATTCATCATTTTTAAGGGCAAATGGCATCTTGCTTCCTAGTACGAAAAAGTGTATTTTCTAGACAATTAGAGGATTGCTGTCTCTGAAAATGGCTTGACAACAAATGAAGTCACTCTAGAATGGCTTAAGCACTTTGAGAAGTTTACTCGTACGAAGACAGTAGGCACTTATCGCCTCCTAGTCCTAGATGGCCATGAAAGTCATCATGACTTAGTCGCCTTTGAAGAATACTGTCGTATGAATAAAACACCTGAAATCTAAAGGCTGGAGTAGGTGAGATGAATGGGCTGGCATACAGAGTGTAAGAATGTTGCCTTTAAAGAAAGCATATAGTCGACAAATTGAGAATCTTGTCTAGACCCGAATTACCCATGTTAGTAAGGAAGCCTTTATAGCATTTAAAGCTACTATGACTAAAGAAAACATCTAGGGAGGTTTTAGGGGTGCTAGGCTTGTACCATATGACCTAGAGGTAGTAATATCTCAGCTATATATTAAATTATTTACTCTAACACCTAAAAATTCCAATCTAGCAAGCTCCTATTTGTAGGTCTCTAAAACCCTACAGACCACAAAGGACGCAAGCTTATAGACAACTCTAATTAAGCAAAGGATCGTACGACATTAGAGTCTAGTAGGGGAAATAGCCTTAAGGTTAGACCTTATAAGTGTAAATTTAAATATTTCTAAAAGTAAAAGTTAGAGATAACGTACATGTATAACGAACCGGCCAAACAAGCGAACCGGCCAAAATATCGCGACCACAATACAAAAATTGCGATAAATCCACCACAACACTAGAAATCAATTGAAACTACTCGGAGTCCTCTTCCTCAGATGTGTCTATTACAATCTGACAAGTGCGCGCATTATGTCCAGTCCCACCACACTTGCTACAGCGACGTGCGCGGGTTTCTTCCCTTGGCTTCCGACCACTACTCGCCCTTATTTCTTGCTCCACTTGCTGTACAACATCCCTCTCGTCCTGTAGCTCCTGTGCTACTTGTTGACTAAGTGATCCTCCTTGCTGTAATCGTATTTTTTTAGCTCTCCGGCGCTTGCTTAGCACTTCATTTGCCTGTCGCAGGTTTTGGTTCTCCGCCTTCAACAATGCTAATTGATGCATTATTTGCGATGTACCCTTTGTAAACTGGTCAACAGCTGTATAGATTGAGGTTGGAGAGCTATTTTGATGATGCGCAATTCGGTTTTTAATGAAGGTAGACTGTGATGAGGCTTCAATTGGGTTGTTTGGTGTTTGGGAAACCCAAGGTTGAGCAGTACCCGGGCGGGAGCTTGGAGGCGTTGGTGTCTTTAACTTAAGATCAAGTGTAGAGATCACACTCTCAGGGTCGAATGGGAGAAGTCCAGCACCCCGGAAGCCTCCTTGAATGTTGCTTTCCGTCATTGCAATGTTAAATGCAGCATAGAAGGCAGGAAAGAAGTCATCCTTAGTAATATGAGAAATATGAGCCCGCATCATATCTTCAATTTGCCGACCATAAGCCCTTTTTAATGGGCTAAAACAGCCAACATCAAGTGGTTGGAGTATATGGGAAGAGTGAGCAGGCATACAAAGCGTAATAATGTTGTGTTCTTTGCAGTACTCCTCAAACTTGTCTGAGTGGTGGCTCTCATGACCATCAAGGACTAACAAGCGATAACCACCAACACTCTGGGGCTTTGTGTGCTTCTCAAAATGCTGAATCCAATCCATACCTCTCTCGTTTGTAGTCCAGCCATTTTCAGTAACAGCAATTACCCAATCGCTTGGAAATCCACTATTCTCATACCATGATGTAAGGTGGTTTTTGCCTGCAACAATGATAAATGGTGGTACTGCCCAACCTTGAGAACTAACGCCTTGGATTACTGTAACCCATTCCCGATTACCAGGCTGTACCTTCTTTGCTTTTGCCCGCCCGTCTGAGCTTGTTACAACCATAGCAGTTGAGATAACGCCCATCATAAACCCAGTCTCATCAAAGTTGTAGATATCTGCTTCATCAATACCATATTTCGCAATTGTGTTACGCACAAGCTCAAACCAGCCACGTATAAGTTCTGGATCTTCACACTTAGCCCTCTGGTAGTCGTATTTGCGCTGGAAGCGTGTCCGGAGCTCTACACGCCGCTTAACAAAGTTTGAAGCCCAACCCGACCCAAGGCGTGGCGCATCGCGTGTTTCAAGTAGTCGATTTGCCATATCTGCAACAATAGACAACTGAGGAGGAAACCCTTTGGTAGCTAGGTCGAGTATATATTGAACAAGGACTGATTCCTCTAAGTTAGTTAATTTCCGTAAGTTGGCTTGAATATCGCGTCGTGAAGGTATGCCTAATAAACGACGGCCTACCTACCCCTAGAAGCGGCCGTATCTGTAGTGCAAATTGGGAATCCCCACGCGAGCGACCCCTGTCGCTCGCGCGCGCACGGGCCATTGTGGAGCGATTATTGTGCAGCAAATTGGGAGACCCCCGGGACGGCGCAGGCGCATCAAGCACGCATACAGAGCATGCAACGAAGGGCGAATAGCGCACACACACCGCTCGCGCAAGGGAAGGATGGCGGCCAGCTTCTCCTACCTCGCAACTCACGGGGTGCTGCTCTGCCGCGACTGCGGGACCTGCCTCATGCCCGCGCGCGCCAGCCAGGAGTGGCACCTGAGGCACCCACCCCACGACCTCAAGGGGCCGGAGCTGCGCACCCTGCTCGACCTCTTCGCGACGCATGAGCTGCGGCCCCCGGGACAGGTCGCCCTGCCAGACCAGCCCTGCATCGCCATCGAGGGACTGCGCCGCCATCCGGCATTCTCCTGCATCCTCTGCCACGACGGCCGGCCGACCCTGACCCGGTCCGGGCCGGCCATCAGGGCGCACGTGTCCCGGGAGCACGGGCAGAAGCCGTCGCAGCAGAGTGAGGGTGGCGCGTGGCAGAGATGCACGGTGCAGACCTTCTTCGCAAAGACCGAGCATGTCCGGTACTTTGTGGTGACAGACGACGACAGGGCGGAAGGGGACGCAGCTACTGCCGCCATCGCCCTCGAGCCGCAGGAGCAGGCCTTCTTCGACCTGGCCGACGCGGACGCGACCATGGTAGCGGACGACATCAAGACGGAGGGCAACAAGGTGCACGGCTTCGACAGCCACCCCTCGGCTGCGGTCCCGTGGCTGAGGCGGACTGGCATCGAGAACCACGTGCGGGGCCTAGAGAAGGACGAGATGCACGCCTCCTTTGCGCTGCCGAAGAGCGCAGATGAGGGAGAGCCCGAGCTGTTCCTGATGCTCGAGGTCATGGACGAGATCCTCGCTGAGGTGCACGGCTGGTGC